TTGATGGTTAGGGTTAGGGTTAGGGTCATTCCAAACCAAACCCAAATAGAACAGCAGTAGCAGCAGAAGGAGCTGTGCTGTGCCTGGGGACACCAGCGCCATCGTTTTGGCTGTTGGCATTGTTTGGATGCTCCAGTGTATTCCATAGTTAAAGAAGTAAAATACAGTGGTTCTGCTTTGCTATATGGCACCACATGGCCCTCCTGGCTGGGAAATGCGTGACATACACATGCCTGGTTTATGTGTCTGAGCCTGAGTTTGTTCCAGACACTCCCAGGAACATGTTGCATCAAACTGGCAGTGGCATCATAAAAGGTGAGACCTGAATTTATCCAACTTTGTTTTTTCACTTAAAGGAAAACTTCATCCTGAATTTTTAGTGTTTATCTTTAATAGGTCTTCAAACTTGGGGGAAAAATCTCTGGCTGGAGGTGGGTTTATTCTTTGCATGGAAGATACTGGTCTCAGTGTGATTGTGGTTGTTAATACGTGGTCGTTAACAACCTGTTGTGCACAAGAGTTTTTCACTGTTGTATTCCTGGTGCAGGTTGTGGCCATTGGGTTTAACTGTGGGATGGTTTGTACAGTTGTAATCATAGAATCACAGGATAGTTTGGGTTGGAAGGACCTTAAAGCTCATCCCATCCCACCCCCTGCCATGGGCAGGGACATCTTCTACTAGCCCAGATTGCTCCAAGCCCCATCCAACCTGGCCTGGAACACTCCCAGGGATGGGGCAGCCACAGCTGCTCTGGGATGGACAGTTCTAGAGTGAACATTAACTCCCCAAACTCTGTATTGATTCTATTTTGTTTCTTTTGCTCATGGCAGTAACTCTGGAGCTGCACTTTACTTGCCTTGATGTGCCATTTGCTTGTGGGATTCTTTGTCATCCAAAAGCTGCTTAAAAAATATCTTGAGCAAAATAAAGCTTTTGTACCTCATTATGGATTCTGGGTAGGATTATGTGTGTGGCTTTTCCTGCAAGGAGGTGTAAAAGGCACTGTCAGTATGAAATACTGAATGTCGGAGTAATTTCTTCTGTGGATAAATTGGGAACACGTTCAGTAAGGTATCTTAGGGATAAAAGGGGAGTGACTTCAGGACTTGTTATGCTGAATGAGAAGAGGGCAAGGGTGTAACTTGTAACTAGCAAAGGTTCTGGATGCCACAGAGACATTGTTCATACATTTTTCATACAGTTCAGATCTGCTGCACCAGGTGTTGTGATCTTGGCGTTGAATCACACAGACACTGTGGTGTGAGTCTTGTGTAATCCTTCTGGAACTAAGGCTGAGGTCTTGGGCTGCAGGGAAACAAAAGAGCCAGACTTGAATTTTATAGCTTTGATGAGAAAATAGGTTTATCCTTTTGTTCTTTTGAGGGGGAAAAAATTCCTCTCCCTGAGAGAAGAGCCACAGCTCTGCAGCACGTGCCTGTCATGGCTGTGCTGGGAGTGCCAGTGATGGTGAGGCCTGTCCTGGCTTCCAGAACCTTCTCTCCCCATTGCCATTAATGGTTAAGCAGCATCAGCAAGTTAAATCCTCTGTTGTCCCCCTGTCACCTCTGGCACTCTGCATCTCTTCCTTTTTATAGGACCTGATCCGAGGTGAGTTTCCTGAGCTCAGCACCTGGCAGGGTTGAGCACAGCAAGTTTGGGAGGTGCATGGGGAGTTGGGATCTGGTTTCTCTGGTGGCAGCCAAAGCCCTTTGTCACAAGGCACTGAGCTGCTGCAGCCCTGGCTCTCTGCAGCAGGGACTAGGGGGTGCCCTGGGCAGGAGCCTCTGACTTTCACTTCTCAGGGTTTGGTTTCTGGTTTGGCTCCATTAAAAGTAAAAGAAAAACCTGTAATTAGGTGAAGTTTCCAAAGCAGAGCCATTAATTTAAGCATAAAATCCACAGGGTTGTGGCAATTGCTTTATGCAGCCAATGCATCCTGACATTTCAGTGGGATAGGAATTGAACACACAGAGTGGGCTTTTCCCCTCTGGACAGACACTGTTGGAGAGGTTCTTCTTGTCCCCTGGTTCGGAGCAGAACCATCTCATCTCACATTTCAGCATTAAACGTGGTTAAGGTTGATGTCCACAGCGAAAGCACTTTGCTAGTCACTTGGTTTCAGCCCCAAACTGGTTTCTTGTCCTGGTTTTGGTGCCAGAACTCCTTTCTATTGAAACTCCTCCTATTTCCTGCAAATGCGTCAATCCAATGTCTCATCAATCCAGAAGTCTGTGGCACGCTGAAAATTGAAATGTCTGAAAAATTAGCATCACAACTCTAGTTTTAAACAAGTTTACAGGGAGAAGGTTGAATAAACCAGTGAGTATTTCATAAAACTGTGGCCAAAAGGAGCCAAACGTTGAATTTTGCCTGTGTGAGCAGAATAACGAGGACTGTCTGCATCAGGCAGCCACAACGTTATTGCTTTTGACAGCAGCTCTTCAGTGAGACACTGAGGTGCTCAGACAATCCCATTCCCAGCAGAAGACCAGCTGACACCTCCGTCAGCACTTCCATGCTTGTCCATCACTCGCTCCGGCCGGGCCAGTGACAGCTCCGGCTGCACCATCCGCTGGGAGCAGTGGATCCAGCTGGGCAGCAGCTGCACAGGAGCCCAGGGCTGGAGCATCTTGGCTGCTAATTGCATCAGGAAGCACAGACTCCTTGCCAGGCTCGAGGAAATAGCTGTCACGAGCACAGGGAGGGAGGGCCAGCACTGGTTCAGGTGCAGGGACAGGCAGGAACGAGTCAATAGCTCGTAAAGACGCAGCAGAACAGCACATAAAGCCTTGCTGTGTGTCTGGGATTTCAGCTGAAGTTGCTGACATTAAGCCTCATAGATTTTTGGGGTTTTGCTTGGGTTCTCTGCTACCTTTTGCACTAACTCCTGTGTGAAATCACCTGCTGGGAAGTGGAGGGGAAAGAAGCTCTCTGGGACCTGAAGGAGCTACAGGAAAGATGGAGAAGCACTTTTTACAAGGGCCTGGAGTGACAGGGAATGGCTTCCCACTGCCAGAGAGCAGGGTTAGATGGGATGCTGGGAAGGAATTCCTCCCTGTGAGGGTGTTGAGGCACTGGCACAGGTTGTCCAGAGAAGCTGTGGCTACTCCACCCCGGGAGTGTTCTAGGCCAGGCTGGACAGGGCTTGGAGCAACCTGGGAAAGTGGGAGATGTCCCTGCCCGTGGCAGGGAGATGGAACAAGATGGTTTTCAAGTTCCCTTCCAACCCAAACCATTCCATGATTCTATGAATGCAGCACGTTGCCAGGGAGGGCGAAGGAATAACAACATCAGGAAACTGGTACCTGCTTCTGGCCACCCCTGTGTGCAGGATGTGTCACAGACACACCTGAGAGTCCTGAGCTGATGTAGGACTAAGCTTATTGCAGCTCCCTCCTCTCCCCTCCATCCTCCTCCTCGTGTTTCTCTGTGCCCAGATGACAAGTTTGCAGCTTGGATCTTTAGATCCACAGATTTGGTTTCAGAGTGGACCCAGTGCCGTTAATTGTGAGCTGTGTTTAACACTGGAGCTCAGGGCCCTGAGGAGTGTTCTGCTGTGGAACAGGTCTGCCAGGCTCCGCAGCACTTGCTTTCTGTGGCCTGTAAAGCTGCCAGCAGGCAGGATGGGATTTAAGGGGCACATTTTGCAAATCAGCGTCTTCATCACAACACTGAGCGGAGGGAGAAGGCAGTGGGGGGACCCGTGGGAAGATTAATGCAGCCTCTTTGCCTTCCTGAGTGCTGAGCTTCCCAGAAAGGATGAGGGTGTCACATCTCTGCTTCTGCCTTCATATTTTTCCTCCTTCCTCCCACTTTTCCCCGTTGTTGCAGTTGTTAAACGCTGCCATTCCTCCTGTCCCTCTTCCTTGTTGGCTGCAGACACTCACTGTTAATTGAGCAGCTCCAGAGCAGCTTTTCAGGCTCCTCAGATAAACAAACCATTTTTACATGAAAGAGCTTCTTACTCTTTTACTGAGATATTTTAAGACTTCCTTATCTTTGTCTGCCACAGAGGAAAACCTAAAAAGCCCAAACTTCTGAGGCCTTGGCTTGGTTTATAAAGAGACTGCCAAGAGGAGGTTTGTAGAGGTGTGTGTACAGCTCTGCTTTAAACTTGGGTCTTTATTTGAACACATCAGCTCTAAGTTTTCTATTGCTGTTGTGGTATCTCAGTCTCTGCAGCTCTAGAGGAAAGAAGAAGAACAGCTTTTTGTCTTTCACAGGACAGTTGAAAGACTTTATGTTATTACTTGGCCTTGCTTCAAAATAATGCACTTTGGAGTGTGACAACTCAGCTCTTCCCTAAGCATCCTAAACTGAGGAAAAATGGGTTTGGAATATTGGGGTTTTGCCTGTTTGGTTTTCCCTCCAGCACAGCAATGTGCTCTGAGTTCTGTGCTCATAGGAACAAGTGTCCACAGCCACAGCTGGGGAGATACTGAGTATCACATTTTCCCAAGGCAAAGGGCAATTACCAAGGGCTCTCCAGCAGTTTTCCCTCTTTTTACCCAGCTGTGTGAATATCAAATTCCTGGGACATCTGTGCCCTTTTATCTCCAGAATGGCTGGTGTTGATCTGTACAATTTTCTGTCTTTAAGAGGGAATTTGTTCAGTTGGAGATGTGCAGGGTCAGTTGGAGCTGTACAGGGTATGAATTGAAGGATTGAGAGAGTCATGTGAGGTTACTTTTCATGCTGATGTTGAAACAGATTTCACCTTCCTAAGGCTTTTTGAATATGACTAATTCTGAGTGCTGTAGATAAGAGTTCAGAGCTGTGATAAACTACCTCAGACCTGTGCTGTTGGTGTGTGTGTGTGCACAGTCCCACACACCATCACACAAATATTGTGTTTATTCGGCTCTACTGTAAATGTTTTGTGTTTTCCTTGCCCAAAGTATCCAGTTTATATCCACACTTGGGTTGTCCCCTGGTGCTGCACCTGGAACGGGTTGGTTTGCACAGTTACAGTGGTTCTCTTATAATTTCCTCTCACCAGGCCAGGTACAAGCAGAGCCTGGACCCGACAGTGGATGAGGTGAAGAAGCTGTGCACGTCCCTGCGGCGCAATGCCAAGGAGGAGCGGGTCCTGTTCCACTACAACGGCCACGGTGTGCCCCGGCCCACGGTCAACGGCGAGATCTGGGTCTTCAATAAGGTGTGTTGGGAGCTGAGCAGCTGCAGCTCCCTCGCTGCTCTGTGAGCTACTGGGGTGTTCTCTTGGACAACTGCTGTGTTTTGGAGTCATGGAGTTGGGTTGGGTTGGGTTGGGTTGGGTTGAGATGGGAGGGACCTTAAAGCTCAGCCAGTGCCACCATGGGCAGGGACACCTTCCACTAGCCCAGGTTGTTCCAAGCCCCATCCAGCCTGGCCTGGAACACTCCCAGGGATGGAGCAGCCACAGCTTCTCTGGGCAGCCTGTGCCAGTGCCTCACCACCTTCACGGGGAGGAATTTCTTTCTAGCATCCTGGTTTTTATTCCCAGCTGCTCAGCATTCCAACACTGCTCCAAGGCAGCATCTGAAGGGGTTTGTGGGGATTCACTTGGCTCATTTTTGCTTCACAGCTCAGCAAACAAAACATTCCTCAGCTCTTTGGGTTAGAGAGACAACAGGAGGTACAAAAAGAGCTGAGGGTGGATTCCCATAGGCTCATTGCTGCAAGGTTCATTTCCTGAGATTGCTGAGGGATTCCATGAAGCTCAGAAATCCTGGGACAGAAGCTGAACACAACCACCTTCTGAGGGAGCTTTTTAACTTTAGAGAAATATCTTTAGGCAATACTCTTCACTCTGGATAGGAGATGGAAAGAGATTGTACCAGGCTGTGGAAGGAAGGACTATTTTGAGCTGTCCTTTTCCAGCACTCAGTGAGGGAATTGTGCATGATTTTGCTGTGGGTTCCTGCTCTGGCTCACTGTGCAGTGAGGACACACCATGAGAGCCTTGAGACAGTCCTTGAGAACTGCTTCATTTGGCATTAACAGTTGCAATAATTCACTCCTCATGTGTTTATTATGAGTGCAGTTGTGTGAGTAAGGAACATTCTTCTGTTTCTGCTTTAGCTACTATTTCCTGAGAACATCTCAATGTGGTTTCAAAAAGGTAAAACCCAACATCCCCCCAACTTAGCCATGTTCATGCTGACATTTTGGGGAACTTCTCTGGGAGTTCTGAAATCTGGTTTTGTGTTTTTAAATATCTGAGTTGTTCACTAAACAATTGGCAATGAAATCTGTTCACAGCCCGTTCCTGGTTGAGCTGTTTGCTGTGTCACTCCCTGAACAGGCACAGAGGGATGGTGGGAGCAGTGTTAGCAGAGCAAAAACTTCTTCCTACAAGCCAAAGTCAACACTGAGAACAAACCATAGGGGCGAGTTCTCCCCAGCCCAGCGTGGCAGCAGCATCAAAGCATCACCCTGAGCAACCAGGCTGGAAAACTCTTATTTAACACTCCTTTTTTCTTCAAACTACCTCATTTACATATCATTAGCAAATTTGATGTGTTATGTGACCCCCACAGTAGAGCTGGAACATAAAACTCTCCTGGCTGGAAATACCACAGTGTTAATCAGAGCTATAATCCCATCGTAGCTGGAGCAAGATGCATGAGAAATATGAAGTGAGAACAGTGCCTGCCCATAAAATCCCATCGATTGGATGTGTCAGAGCAGGTTTTTATGTGTCACTTCCTGTGATTGGGATGTGCTTCATGTGAGTGATGACCTTAGCAAAGGTCTGTGCCAGGAGGAGCTGCTCCCTCATTGTTCATCCTGCAGCCATTTGCAGAGCTCCCAACTCCCCAAAGTTTGCCTTTTAGAAACAATTTCCCCTGTTAATGTTAATGAAACACCCAAGGCTGTTGTATGTGGGCAGAGCTGCATCCTGAGAGGCCTTTCCCTTCCCTCCCTTACATAACTCATGGCCTGTGATCCCTTTGCCTCTGCCGGCGCTGAGACATGTCCTTGTCAGTTGGATTTTTGTAGAAGTTTGCTGGTTTTATTACAGCTATTTTAAGTCTCTTGAATTTAAATGGGAGTTGTGATCCCATCCATCATCCTGCTGATGGTAATAGGAACATCAGAGCTTTTCTTGAGGATTTTGAGCCGAGCTCAGGGCTGTGGAACACCAGGTTGCCCTCTGCCTGCAGGAAGGATCCTGCTGGCAGCCACTGGGTGTTTGGTGGTGACTCTTTGCAGGCAAAAATCTGGTTTGTATTCTCAGCTCACTTAGTTCAGGGTTGGCCCTTCATAGCTGATTCCCAAGGTCTGATTTTTATCCTCTTGTCTCGAGTTATTTGGAGGTGTTAAGAGAGAAGACAAGGACCAAAATCCTTCCTGTTTACAGAAAGGGAATTGTAGGCACTTCACTGATGAAAGCAGCTTTGTTGGTTTTAATTTTATTGGATAATTCTGAGAGTTGCACAGGAGTTAAAGCTGTAATAAAACTGGGAGGCATCTCGTTAAGCCCAGGCAGGGCAGCTCTGATGGGCTGCAGGGGCTTAATTAGCCATCCTGATTTATTGATGGGCTGTTCAGTTTAGGATGTTTGATGTTAAATTAAAGACAGCTGGTTTGCATCCTTTATCAGTGTTGCAGAAATTTGGGATGAAATTGGACTATTAAATGCTGGTTGGAGCTGTTAGCACACATCAGGGCTCTAAATATCTAACATGGAAAACTCCTGGAGGAGTTCTGGGCTTTTAATCTGGACTTGAGTGTTCAAACAAAGCCACAACAAACTCTTGTCCTTCGTGTTGAGTTGGGCTCATGGTCCTCATTGGTGGTGGATGTTGACTGATATTTGTAATGATTTATATGTTTAATTTAATGTGTTTTATGTTTAATTTAATGATTTATATGTCCAATGTAGGTTTTATTTGGAGACCTTATCACCATCTACAACTCTCTGAGAGGAGGTTGGAGTCAGGTGGGGGTTGGTCTCTTCTCCCAGGCAACCAGCAGCAGGACAAGAGGGCACAGACTCAAGCTCTGCCAGGGGAGGTTTAGGTTGGGTATTAGGAAGAGATTTTTTACAGAGAGAGTGATCAGACATTGGGATGTGCTGCCCAGGGAGGTGGTGGATTCAGCATCCCTGGAGGTTTTTAAGATGAGACTGGATGTGGCACTTAGTGCCATGGTCTAATAACCACGGTAGGGTTGGACTTGATGGTCCTGGAGGTCTTTTCCAACCCGGTTGATTCTATGATTTCAGAGTTGGGATTTCAGAGTTGGGATTTTAGGGGTGTGTTTTGTTATCTCACCACTTCAAGCTCTGTTGCTTCTCTGCCTTGTGCTGACTCTGGTGTGTCTTCCCTCTGCACAGAACTACACTCAGTACATCCCACTCTCCATATATGACCTGCAGACCTGGATGGGAAGTCCTTCCATTTTCGTGTACGACTGCTCCAACGCTGGCCTTATTGTCAAGTCATTCAAGCAATTTGCACTACAGAGAGAGCAGGAGCTGGAGGTGAGAGCACAGACTGCAGAGGGTTGGGTGGGAGTTAGTGAACACAAGTGAAGTTTTGCTCTGCACGCTGAATAATGTGTTTAAAACCATGTTGGAAGGCAAATTAATTTGCGAATAACTTTGCCACTCTGATCTTTCTAGTTCAGTTTGCTCTCCCATTAAACTTGGGATGATTTCTAATACAAGCACTAATTAAATGTTAATGTTAATAGAATCAATTTGGGCCCTAATGGACTTTTCTGCACAGATGAATGCTGAGGGGAATGAGACATATTTATTTTGGTTGCACAAGTCTGGTTTCTGGAGCTGGATTGGGATGCAGTTGTGGCTTTGTGCTGTTGGAGTGAATGTGGAACAACAAAAAGCTGATCCACAGAGGGATTGTCCTGGTGGTTCCAGTTCTGCAGTGCTGGAGCTGAATGTGTTCCCAGGGAAGGAACTGCTGCAAGTGGAATTAGTGATGAATTTACTGGAGGAACTCTGAAATGGGAAGTGGAAGGGAAGAAGTTTGGGGTTTTGTGCATTCCCCCAGTGCTCTGTTGCCTTCAGCTCCCAGGGAAAGGACTTGGGATCACTTCCTACAGTGTAATGTTACTGTATTGTAGTGCAAAATAAACAACCTGAACGCTTCAAGGAGGAATATTAATTAGCAGGCCACTCACTGTCCCAAACACAACCTCTGGGCAGGTGCTAAGTGTCCCTGCCTGTATATCCTTTCATTCCAAATTCCAGTCTTTGGAGGTGCTTTTGTGGTGGGAATTCCATTGGACTGAGAGAAGAGGCTGATAGCTTGGGATATGCAGATCATTTAATCATTCCTTCTCTTCCACCAGGGATAATTCAATATTTTGTAATGCTGAGAAACTTGCCAAATAAAAAGTTGCATTTCTGAGAGAGCCAAAGAGTGCAGAAAGTCTGGCTGCAGTGGCTGCTCTAAGGGGGCACAAATAGATGTTCATCCTGGACTTTACCTTTTTTTTTCACCTCCTTGCTCAGACTTGAATGAGAATGCTGAGCTCCATCCTTGTCCCTCGCAGCCTGGCAAGGTCTGGCATTGCTGCTGCTGTTGTATGTTCATTTAGGGTTGTTAATAGGTTGTTAATTAACATCCTGATGGGCAAATATTTCCACTGTGTGGGTCACAGCTTCTGTGGTTTGTTGTGCTGGGGAGGAGCCTGGAGCTGAGCTGGTCCTGGTCTTCCCCATCACACCTGAGGGGCACCACCAGACTGTGACAGACATCAAGTCATGAGTGTTTCACACTCTTCTGACAGCTGAAAATCCCTCAAATGCACTTCCCCAGGAGCTGTCCTTGGGGATGCCCCGAGGGCAGGGCTTTCCTTAGGGAATGAACAGCCACAGCTAAACTGTTTGACTGCTTTGTATTTATAAAACTGGAAAGAGCTAATGCAATTCCACACTGTCTGTCTTGGCTTTCTCCTCAAATAAATGAGCTTTTTAGTGGTTTAATTACCTTTTATTTAGTTATCAGCATACAGAGGCTTGGAACAGGATGGTCTTTAAATTCCCTTCTCACCCAAACCATTCCATGAGTCTATGATAGAGCCTAAGTGTTACTGGGAGTAAATCTCAGCAGAGGACAGGTGATGGCTTGGGGGTACCTTCATCCCCCCCAGGTAGGTGTGAATCTCTGCTGGAAGCAGCTCAGCTCAGTTGAGCAGGGACAGGTCTTTGCTAATTTGGACAACTTGAACAAGCCAAAGTGTGTCAGTGCTGCCCCTGGGACTAGGATGGGAAAAAATAGTATATTTGAAGAATCAAAAACCTTAATAGGCAGCAGAATTTGTGGAGTAGGATCTGAAAGTTCTCCCTGGCTTGTCAGGTCCTTTGCCAGGTGAGAGCTGTGTGTGCCAGGCCCTGGGTTTGTTCCCTTCTGACCCTCTGAGGCACCAGATAGAGGTCCTCTTCACACAGACCCAGGTTTTCACGTGTAAAGATGGTAAAGAGAGGGTTTGTCAGTCAGCTGTGTCACCTTACTCATTTGGCAAGAAAATAAAGGTGTCTGAAGTGTTGGTCCCTGTGAGAATGTGCCTTTGTCACCTTTGCCAACACCACATGGGTCAGTCCTGCACAGGAGGGCAGTGAGGACACACAGGTGTCAGTTCTTGTCCTGTTCCTTTAGCAACCTCTGAGTGCCAGAGAGCAAAGTTTTGAGTGACTGAAGTGTTTATTTGTCTGTATCAGAAAGGCAGTGGAAAGATGATTACTGTTTTTCAATCTGTGAATTAGTAGTCTCAAAAATCCTGTTTGTAATCAAAATTGGAAATAGGAGAATGATTGTGGGTTTGGAAAATGGGAATATTGATCTGGATGGTGTTTCTGCTTTATTGACTGTTTGGGCAGATTAAATATTTAACAGTTAAATACTGTTAATTATGTGTGAGTTAAAGCTGTGGCTGGTGCTGTCAGAGTGGTTCACTTCTCCCAACCCAGAGCTCCAAGGAGCACTGCCAGCTCTTCCTGGGCTATTTCCTGATGGTGTAGAAATGACCTTCACTGAATCCTCACCCGGGGATTTCCCTGCTCTCTGCAGGTGGCCGCGATTAACCCAAACCACCCCCTGGCCCAGATGCCTTTGCCTCCCTCCATGAAGAACTGCATCCAGCTGGCAGCCTGTGAGGCCAACGAGCTGTTGCCCATGATCCCTGACCTGCCTGCAGACCTCTTCACCTCCTGCCTTACCACCCCCATCAAGATCGCCCTGAGATGGTGAGTAGCTGCTCCTCACTGAGGGCCCTGCACAGCTTGTGTGGCTGCTCTGTGAAATGATGGATTTGTGGATCCAAATGCTTCATCTGACCTAAAGCTTCCCTGCAATATTGAATGACAGGGTTTGAACTATGCAATTGGGACAGCAGCTTATTAATCATAACTAGAAAGGTGAAAATATTGTTATCTTCTACTTATTAGGTTTTAGTTTCCAGCTCAATATCTAAGTTTGCTCAGATTAAGGGATTTGCTGTTCTGGGAATT